CGATCGCACATGTCTTTTTCAATGGCGCGCGCAGCGCTGGGGATGCAATGGCGCGGCGTTCGTGGGAGCTTCCCGCGGCTCAACATTTCCAAGTGGTGCTGGGCAAACCGCCGCCGATGGGCATGCCCCGCCCCGGTGCTCTTCGCGCTCGGCGTGTTATCGACCACTTGGAGATATAAGCTGGGGGAGTGTTCCTCATGCCGGATCAGGGCGCCGACGACTGGATCGACTGGCTCGCGCCCCTTTCATGGCTGTTCTCCTGGATTGGCCGCGCTGGGCAAATCGCTTCCGATGGGCATGCCCCGCCCCGGTGCTCTTCGCGCTTGGCGCGTGATCGACCACTTGGAAATATAAGCTGGGGAAGGGTTCCCACTGCCATGTCGCGAGTGCCGGCAGGGCGCCGACGACTGGGTCGATTGGCGCGCCCCTTTCATGGCTGTTCTCTTGGATCGGCCGCGCCACGCCAACCCTCGCGCTCGCGCGCCAGACTTGCCAAGCTCGCCTCCTGGCGCGCAGTTGCCGTGGGCCTGGGGCGTCTGCGACGCGGTGTGGATCTGGACCGCGCAGTTCCGCAACGGGCACGCGTCGGTCATGGAGGCGCTGGAAGACGACATTTTGTGGAAGAGCAGCCGTCCGCCCCACGGGCGCTCTTGCTGCGCGACGCTACGTTGTCAGCGCGCTGAGCATGCCGAAGCCAGCAGGGAGGCCTACTTGCCGCGCGCTCTGTGGGACACGGGAGCACGGCCAGGTGGCCTCTCGCTCCCGCCCTGGAGGTGCTTGGGGAGCAACCGCAATGGGCCCCGCCTGCGCCAGTGAAGGTTGAAGACGAGTCTGACGGCATCGCTCTGGCCACTGACAACCTGCATGTTGGACATTGGGGGCTCCGCGCCAGCCATGCAGAGCATTCGGGCTGCGCCCCCCAAGACGAGATGCTCGCCTCGCTCAAATCATCTTCAGCGCGGTGGTTGACCTCCTTTAGTTGCGAAGTGGCGCCCCAGTGTTCGACGATCGTGTCCAATCGCTTACTCTGTCCATGCCTGTGGCTGCCGATCGCACCTGCGACGGCTCCGCGGATCACCGACGTAGTGTCGTCCAGTTTTCCGAGCCACGGCGCCCTTGCGTTCTCTGCCAGGGCGAGTGCGTGTGCGAACAAAAGCAATCGATGGAGTGGTGCGCTTCCTTCGCGAAGACGCAGCTGAGGCAGTTCTTCTTCGACCGCCTATGCCATGCCACCTTTGATGACGAGCGCTGCGGGCTGCTTCAATTGCTCGCAATGGGCATATGCGGTGATCTCTGGGGGCGGGACCAGAAGTCGAGAGCGGCGATGCCGCGGAAATTGTTGTCGATGGACCCGTTTGAGCTGGAACGCCAGCTCGCCGCGCTCCGCTGGCAGCGCGGGAACCTCAGGGGATGGCGTCCTCGTGTCTCCCTCAACCCGCGGTGGCGGTCGCAGTTGCTTCGTCTCTTGGTGCGGCTGGAGATCCAGACTCCGCGCCCCCGCTTCTTTTCGCGTCTGGTCCAACCCGCCCGGCTGCGGCCCGTGCGTCCCGATGATGACCGTGGCGACAGGTCTTCGTTTTACGGCGTCCTCGTGGACTACGTCATCCTGCCTCTCCGAGTGCGCTGCCGCTTGGACCACCTTTTTGTCTCTTCGGTCTCTTGTGCTGGCATATGTCATCCTCCCCAAACTCATGATGGTCAAGCAACGCAACCTCGTCAAAGAGAACGCGTTTATGATGGCAACGATGGCCTCTGCCACGGCGTCGCCGTCTCCGACAGGTACCTCGACCTCCGGAAGGTCAACTACGCGAGCCTGGGTGGCTCGGCCTGCGGCGCGCGATCCCCGCGCTCAAATGGCTAGGCTTGGAGACCTTCTTTTCCGCGCTGGGCTCCTCAACCTCCCCCCTTCATCTCCTGGACGCGAGCGCTGAAGCATCTGTTTGGCCACTGCAACCTCATGGTTCTGATGTTTGTGCGACGGAGAGAAAGGAAGGAATCAATTGAGGCAGGTGGTGATGATGGTGGAACCGACCCCGGTTTCCCCGGTTTTTAATTTGGACAGCGCGCGAACCACAACTGCGATCCGCCGACCACGGTTCACTGGGGTTACTACCAGAGTCCTGTCGAGCGAACGGGGTCCTGAATATCTGCCAGGGACCCCTTGAAACAGGCCAGGGCAGCTACATCGACCGCGGACCCATAAATTTAGAAGCGGGTCGACAACAAAAAAGACCCGTGTTTCCTTGTCTTGTTTCTTGCCTCCGTGATCCACTTCCCCACGGGAAAGGGGCGGGCCACCGGCCGAGGTGCAGGATTTTGTCGCGCACGTGCGCGAGGCAAGCAAAGCAGAAAATGGCACGCGCTGAATGAATCGCTATCGAGAGCCGGCGCCCGAGGACCCAACCAGCGATACTACCGCCAGCCCCACCCAGCACCAGCACTGCCACGCTTCCAAAGAACGCCACATCTCACGGGGAAGAAGCGATGCGACTTCCAACTTCTGGCAACAGCAGGGCCTTGCCAAAAGGGGGTGGTCTGGGCCGTCCCCGAGGGGAGTGGGCGGAGTGCTGCGGAACGGGGGCGCAGCGAGGAACGGGGAGAGCCAGTGAGGATTGTGAGGGAAAAGCAATGGGAGAGGAAGGGGAGGAAAGGAATGAGACGAGGAACCAGCCAGCCCGCCCACGGCACACAGCCCTTCCAGGAGGGAAAGGGGTCGAGAGCGCCGCTTGGGGGGTCAAGGGCCGCTCAACCCATCCCGCCTGTAACCCAGAGGACACGGACAAAGAGGAGGAGACCGGGCCCGTCCAGCAGAGCGCGCCAGTCCACCCCCGTACGACCAACACCGACCCCAACCCCGCCGCTTGCGCGGAAGTTGCGGGTGGCCAACAGAGGAAACTGCGATGTAGGCCTCCCGACGGAGTGTTGGGGCAGCCACGGAATGCAACCGCGGCGCCACCGAAGGCGCCGTTTTTACCCTTGGCGCAACTCTTCCCGACAGTAAATGGTGATGGTGATGACTACGATGGTCGTGGTGTTGGTGGTGAGCAGCATTATATAGTTACGTATGGTGAGGACGATGGCGGTGATAGTCATCACCATGATGGATGATGACGATGGTGGCCATGATGGTGATGCAATGATGGCGATTGCTGCTGATGGTGGGCGCGCTGGTGGTGGTGGTGCTGCTGCTGCTTCTGACGATGCCGGCGATAACGTTGCTCTCCGCCCTGTTTTTCCTCCTCCTCCTCCTGCCATTCCTCCTCCTCCTCCTCCTCCTCCTCCTCCTCCTCCTTCCTCCTCCTCCTCCTCCTCCTCCTCCTCCTCCTCCTCCTCCTCCTCCTCCTCTCCTCCTCCTCCTCCTCCTCCTCCTCCTCCTCCCTCCCTCCTCCTCCTCCTCCTCCTCCTCCTCCTCCTCCTCCTCCTCCTCCCATTCCTTCCCTCGCGGGTGCGCCTCGTCGCGGGGCCGCTCTCGGGCCACCCCGTCCCCCCCCCCCCAGCCCAGGCAAGGCCCCGGTTCGGCGCGAGGCGCCCCGAGGTTCGGGGCGAGCAAAAAACAGCAGCCCCGCGCGCGCTCCGGCTGCCGCGCCCGCTGCTGCGGCGCGCCCGGGCCCCTCTCCCTCCTCCCTCCTCCCTCCTCCCTCCTCCCTCCTCCCTTCTCCCTCCTCCCTCCTCCCTCCTCCTCCTCCTCCTCCTCCTCCTCCTCCTCCTCCTCCTCCTTCTCCTCCCTTCCGCAGGGTCCTTCCGGATCCGAGAGAGAGAGAGAGAGGGAGAGAGAGGGAGAGAGGGAGGGAGGGAGGGAGGGAGAGAGAGCGAGAGAGACGGAGAGAGCGGGACGGGAGCACAGAGGTATGTTCGGCAAGCTCGCCCGTGCAACGAGACCTGACGTTGCAACGAACTACCACATTCTGCCGCCGTGACCCTGCATGGCTGCCATTCGCCAGCACGTATCCACCAGGGTCCATTTCTATCCGGCCAATCCGATTCCAGATCTTGTTCGGCTGGCCCGATCCGGTTCGGTTTCGATGTTCTGGCGACGCTCTCAGAGCGTCGTTGTGCATCTTGGCGCGACCGACCCGATTCGTCCCCGACTCCGTGCCGATACGGCCCCATTCGATGCACATTCAGTTTTTTTGCTGTCGTGGCCATCAACCGTGCGTTCTTATCTTCCAAACGCGGTGCCCACAGTGGTGCGCATAACAAGGAGTTCGGCAGACGCTCTGAGACTCGGCTCGGGATCACCGGGCAGCGTCACGACCGCCAGGGACAATGCGAACATGTGGCGGCGTAGCGGGACGCTTTCCCGAGAAGGAAACACAAGTATCGTTCCGATCCGCCTTCCCGATTCGATGTTGACCCAGCCTGCCCCAGCCACGACCAGCCTACCTCCAGCACCGCGCCCGCGCCGCCAATTTGGGTCGCGATAGTTGGGGGGGGGCGATACATCGGGGGCCTGAAACGGCAATTTCGGGCCCACAAGGGGGGCTTTCGGATCTGAAAAGGGCACCTTCCTCCTCACCCCGATATTTATCGCCCCCCCCAGTGATTCGGGCCCAACCCCTTCGTCGACCTTACACTTTCTCGCCTCGCAGATGCCACGCGCTGCGCCAAGGCCCGAGGGCGAAGCGAGGCGAGCTTCCACAACTGCAGTCGGGCCGAGGTAACCGCTAAAGGTCTTTAGTTTTGGTTTCCCCCCTTTTCTCTCGGCGGTGAATAGGACTGGTCCTGAAACCTCCTCCGCCTCCTCCTCCCTCCTCCTCCTCCCTCCTCCTCCTCCTCCCTCCTCCCTCCTCCCTCCTCCCTTCTGCCTGCTCCCTCCTCCTCCTCCTCCTCCTCCTCCTCCTCCTCCCTCCTCCTCCTCCTCCTCCTCCTCCTCCTCCTCCTCCTCCTCCTCCTCCCCCGTGCCATTCTGGCTCAAGCCCTGTCGGCCCAAAGGCCGTCCCAGCGCCGGGCGCGGCTTCCCTCTGGTTCCAGCCCCCTCCGCGGTGCGATTTTGTGGAGAGATGGCACCCGGCGCGACGGCCGGCCGGCGGGGGCGGGGGCGCGGCCTCGCCGCGGCGCTGGCGCTCGCCGCCGCCTGCCGGCTGCTGGAGGGCCCGCTGGCCTTCCTGGCGGCGGGGGGCGGCGCGCGGCGCGAGCGGGCGCGGGGCGCGCTGGCGGCGGGGCCCCGCGGGCCCAGCGGCCGCCCCTGGCGCACGGCCCTCGGCGCCCGCCCGGACATGGCCCTGGAGGTCGGGTGCAAGGTGATGATGGGCCTGTTTTCCACCACCACCACCATAAGTTGGAGGGGGAGGGGGTCCTCCTCCTCCTCGTCCACCTCCTTCTCCTCGTCCTCCTCCTCGTCCTCCTCCTCCTCGTCCTCCACCTCCTTCCCCCCTCCAATTTATGGTGGTGGTGGTGGAAAACAGGCCCATCAAGGTGAAGGCGATGTCCCCCGACGACGAGCGGTGGTACCCCGGCAGGGTGACGGGGGAGGCCGCGGGCGGCTGGGTGGTGGCGTGGGACGACCCGGACGGCGGCCCGGAGACCAACACCCTCGCCGAGGAGTACATCAAGAAGGTCATCATCTTCAAGGGCTACCAGGTCGGCGACGACTGCAGGGCCATCTCCCCCGACGACGGCCGCTTTTACCCCGGCACGGTGGCGGAGCTGCTGGGGGAGGAGAAGTTCCGCGTGAAGTGGGACGACCCCGACGGAGGCGCCGAGACCGCGGAAGTCCACGCCGAGAGCATGAGGAAGGTCGTCGTCAAGCGGGACTACAAGGAGGGAGACGCGGTTCTCGGCAGGTTCCCGGAGGACGGCATGATGTACCCAGGCACAGTGCTGAAGAAGAACGAGGACGGCACGTTCGCGGTCAAGTGGGAGGACCCCGACGGCGGCCCAGAGCAGTCCGACGTGAGCCCGAAGGACATGAGGATCCCTCCCATCCCGTTCGATTCGCTTGAGGTAGGCCAGGAGTTCCAGGGAACCGTGCGCTCCGTGCGGGACTTCGGCGCCTTCGTGGACATCGGGGCCGAGGTCGACGGGCTGCTGCACATCGGCTCCATCTCCACGGACAAGATTGAGGACATTTACTCGGTGCTCGAGGATGACCAGGAGGTCAAGGTCTGGATCAGCGGCCTGCGCGACGACGGGAAATTCGGCCTGACCATGATCGAGGGCCGGACGGACAGCGCGGGGGGCCGGCGCCGCGTCGAGAGCGACTTCACCCCTTTCTCCGGCGCGTCCCCGGACGAGTGGTTCGAGGGCGAGGTCACCAACACGGCGTCCTTCGGTGCGTTCATTGTGGTGACGGCGGAGGATGGGACCCAGGCATTGGGCCTGTGCCACGTGTCCCAGATAGCCGACGCGTTCGTGGATAACATCAACGACCACGTCTCGGTGGGCCAGAAGGTGAAGGTGCGCGTGATCAGCGTGGACATGGACGCGAACAAGATGAGCCTGAGCATGAAGGAGAGCGGCGGCGGTGCCCCGGTCTCGCGGGAGCCCGCTGACCTGAGCGCCTTCGAGTCGGTCAGCCCAGACGAGTGGCTCACAGGCAAGGTGGCCAGGTGCGCCTCCTTTGGGGCCTTCGTGGAGGTGACGGCGCCAGACGGCGCCACGGCGGACGGCCTGGTGCACATCACGCAGATCAAGGACGGCTTCGTGGAGAACGTGGCGGATGAGCTCGAGCCCGGCCAGGAGGTGAAGGTGCGCGTGGTCAGCGTCGACGTCGGCGCGGGCAAGATGACCCTGTCGATGATCGAGGAGGGGGCGGGCTTCGGCGGCGGCGGTTTCAGGGTGCCCCCTGACCTGAGCGCCTTCGAGTCGGTCAGCTCAGACGAGTGGCTCACAGGCAAGGTGGCAAGGTGCGCCTCCTTTGGGGCCTTCGTGGAGGTGACGGCGCCAGACGGCGCCACGGCGGACGGCCTGGTGCACATCACGCAGATCAAGGACGGCTTCGTGGAGAACGTGGCGGATGAGCTCGAGCCCGGCCAGGAGGTGAAGGTGCGCGTGGTCAGCGTCGACGTCGGCGCGGGCAAGATGACCCTGTCGATGATCGAGGAGGGGGCGGGCTTCGGCGGCGGCGGTGGCGGGGCGCCCGCTGACCTGAGCGCCTTCGAGTCGGTCAGCCCAGACGAGTGGCTCACAGGCAAGGTGGCCAGGTGCGCCTCCTTTGGGGCCTTCGTGGAGGTGACGGCGCCAGACGGCGCCACGGCGGACGGCCTGGTGCACATCACGCAGATCAAGGACGGCTTCGTGGAGAACGTGGAGGACGAGCTCGAGGTCGGTCAGGAGGTGCAGGTCCGCGTGATCAGCGTCGACGTCGGCGCGGGCAAGATGAGCCTCTCGATGAAGCCGGAGGGCCTCGACGAGGAGTGAGGCAGTGCCGGTCAGGACTCGTCCTGCTGCTGGAAGAAAAGGGCCATACGCAGCTCTGACGCCGTTTTTCCCTCCTCGGCTTTCCTGTGGCCGCCCCGGGGAGTGCGTCGTTGCAGCGCGGCGGGGGGCACGGCGCGCCTTGGCCCCCAGGGCCTCCATGAGTCCGCGCTCGTAGCCAGACCTGTGGCGGGAGGAGGGTGAAGAGGAGGAGGAGGAGGAGGAGGAGGAGGAGGAGGAGGAGGAGGAGGAAGAGGAGGAGGAGGAGGAGAAGCAATGACGACGCGCCATGGTGCGCTTCGGCTTTCCTGTTGCCGCCCAGGGGCGGGGCTGAGGAGGTGCGCCGGGGCGGTGCCCCGCCGTCGGCCGCCAGAGGGGCCCGGTCCTTCGCGCGCTGTGGCGGGTGGGCCCCGGCAGCCACGCGCACCAAACATGCGCCTCCCCAGCTTGAGCTCCTCCTCCTCCTCCTCCTCCTCCTCCTCGACGTCACCCCAACATACTTATACTATATGTGCGTCGCCTCCCTGGGGGCGATGCGCGCACCGAGAAATCTTATAGTATATGCGTCGTGGCGGGCGCATTCTGGCCACCCCGCTCTGGAAACGATATTCTACAAGATGGGTATACTATATGTCCGGGTCGGACGCGCGCCTCCAAGGATAACATGTAGTACTAGTACGTTTTTGTGCATCCCATCCTCCTCCTCCTCCTGTTCGGGGGGGGCCTCAGTTGTAGTTGTTGAGGCGGTCCAGCGCCGCTCGGTGGCAGCCCCTGTGGAGGGCAGGGGAACTTACGGACGACGCAGTAAAGGTTTGACCTCGAAGTAAAGGCAGTAGAGCAACACGAGGTTGCCCATCGCCGTGAACCTGGAGTGTTCGTGCTTTGGGTCGTCGTGGTAAGCCGCATCTCCGGCAAGCCCGAGCCGATGAAGAAGATCGCCATGAAGGAACTGTCGAGGGCTCAGCGCGGTCGGGCGCTGAGGACAGACGTTCTTATGGTACTGGCGCTCCTATTCGGGGGGAGGTTAAAAACCTTTCAGGGTTATAGGATAGAGGTCGGTTCGGGGAGGGTGCTCTAGTGCTCTTCGTGCTTGTTAGATGCCCTTGTGCATCCTGGGGGTGGTAACCTTCGATGTGCTGATTGTTTTGGCCGACGGGGGGTCTCATGTTCTTGAGGGGTGCCCTTCTGGCCTGGGTCTGACTGTACTGCACCGGAGGGGGCGAAGGAGCGAAATGGCCCCAGCCAGGACCTCGGCCTCGGCTTCTGCTCGTGTCGTGCCGTGCTGGCAAGGCGAACCTGGGCGAGGGCGACGAAGGGCTGTCCCGCAGCTGCTCCGTGGGTGTGCCGCGGGTTGTCCCGCGGCTGACCCGCGGCTTTCCAGTGGGCTGTCCCGTGATTGCTCCTTGTCTTTGCCCCGCTGTCTGTCCAGAGTTTTGTCCCGCGCTTGTCCCACGGATCGTCCCGTGGTTGTCCCTCGGGTTGTCCCTCGATTGCTTGGCGGCTGTCCCGTGGGAAATGAACATCGAAGTGCAAATCCGATGGCAAGCAATGTGCAACCCGATCTTCAAGTCGAAGCTCCCGAGCAGCCCTTGCACTTGGGAGATCCCGTGCCTCTTCTGCGGAACCGGCCTTGAATGTCTCTCCGGCGGCTCCGTGCTCGCCGTCGCCACCCCGTTGTCGCCTCGTCGCCGCCCGTCGTGTGGGCCTGACTGTCGGTCGGGTCAGAGCGTGAATTACCTACCCCGCTTTCGCTTCCAGGCAAAACCAAGCCATACCACGCGCCTCCTCGTCAAGCGGCCTGATCAGTACAGGCTGCAATTTGGCATCGTTTGGTATCTCTTGGAAGCGAGGGTGGTCAAAAGCGAGGGAGGTTTGTTTTCCCCCTAGGTCGGTCCGGCGTCTGCGTGCTCCCCGCCGCCGCCCCGTCGCCGCCCCGTCGCCGCCCGTCGCCTCGGCCGCCCGCTGGCGGTCCGGCGGCTCCGTGCTCGCCGCCGCCGCGCCGTTGCCGCCCCGTCTGCCGCCCAGATCGCGCAGCATAGATATTTCGGGCCGGGCGAGAGGAGGGGATTGTCAGTTGAGCGGAAGATCGGGACAAATCGGAACCAGAGATTCTGGGAGAGTTCCAAAGAAAAGTAGAGCGCCGAATTGTGGAGCGCAGCGCGCGCATTCGCAGAAGTTCCCCAAGGACTTTTCGAGGGCTTGAGGAGCCCAAGTAATCATTGGGAAAGGGGGGGTTACGAAATCTGCTGCCTGCAGCTGGTTTCGGCCTCACCGAGAGGCCCATTCCTCGATACACAGCCGCCTCCGGCGCCGGGAGGCGCCGGGGAAAGTCAGCTGCGCGGGGTGATTTTCCCCCCCCCCCCCCCCCTTTGCTGTCCCCCCCTTGCGCCCGACCCGAAGATTGCACCACATATCGCACAACACAAATTCTCCTTTCTAAAAGGAGACTAGGTTCTACCACCCCCGGGTTTAAAGACCCCCCGGGGACCGATGTAAAACACATGGGGTTCTGACCCCATGTCCATCCTACCTTTGCATTCATGTGATCCCAGCCAAACCGGTAGCGGTTCCCCCCGCCATCCTCTACCCAAAACCTATGCGCGCACACCCGTTCATCAAAAATCAAAAAATTACACGAATCCCTTGCAACAAATTTGACGAAGTGCACACGCGCGGGTCGTCGCGCGCGCATGCCGAGCTCCTTCAAAAGCCTTCGGTTTCGGAAGGAGTTCAAATTCGAGTTTCCAAAACACATACATAACCTCGCTCTTGCGAAACACACTACCAAACGGGATTCGCGCGCGCATGTCGAAATCGTTCGAACGCCCTCGCGCGCATGCCGTCGCGAGAAGCCTCTGCAAAAAATGGGACGAATTGCGCACGCGCGCGTCGTCGCACGCTCATGCCGAAATCCTTCAAAAACCTTAGGTTTCGGAAGGATTTCAAAATCGAGAGTCCAACCAAGATACAAACACACAGGGTTTCGCAACACGGATGTTCAACAAAAGCGTGCGCGCGCGCTCTTGCGTCGTCGTCGTCTTCGTCGTCGCCGTCCTCCTTTCTCCCTCGTCGTCGTCGTCGCCACCGTCGTCGTCCTCTGTCTTTCTTCGTCGTCGTCGCCGTCTTGGCGTCGTCGTCGTCGTTTTCGTCGTCGTTGTCGCCGTGGTCGTCCTTCCTCCCTCGTCGTCTTCGTCGTTGTTTCGTCGTTGGCCCTCCTATTTCGTCGCCGTCGTCGTCGCCGTCGTCGTCGTCGTCGTCGTCGTCGTCGTCGGCGTCGGCGTTGTCGTAATCGTCGTCGTCGTCGTCCTCTTCCCTCCTCCCTCGTCGTTGTCGACGTCGGCGTCGCCGTCCTCCCTCCTTCGTCGTTCGCGTCCTTGCCATCCTCCCTCCTCCCTCGTCGTTGTCGTCGTTACCGCCGTCGTCGTCCTCCCTCCTCCTCCCTCGTCGTCGTCGTCGTCGTCTTCGTTGGCGACGTCGTCGTCGTCGTCTTCGTCGTCGGCGTCGGCGTCGTCGTCGTCGTCGGCGTCGTCGTCGTCGGCGTTGTTATCGTCGTCGTCGTCGTCTTCGTCGGCGTCGTCGTCGTCGTCGTTGTCGTCGTCGTCGAAGTCGTTGGGGACGTCGTCGGTGTTGTCGTAGTCGTTGTCGGCGGCGACGTCGTCGTCGTTGTCGCTGTCGTCGTCGGCGTCGGTGTCGTTGCCAAGTGCCATTTGGTACCCACCGTCACGGTCTTAAGAGGTCTTGCGACCAAGTTGCGGGTGGGGGGGTGGGATGTTTGCATGGAGAGGGCAGCTTCAAGTTGAGCAAGTGATTGATTCTCCTTTTTAAAGAGAGAATAGACTCTACCCCCCCCCGGCGTTATCGGTCCCCCTTTCGGGTATGTAAAGCACATATGATTCTGCCCACATGTCCATCCTAAATCTGAAATCACAATGTCCCAGGCCAGCCGGTACCCCCCCCCGAGGTTCCCTTGTTAAAAAACGCTATGCGGTAACATGTTTTGTTCTAACATAGCACTTTTTCACGAATCCGTTGTACAACATGGGACGAAATGCACACGCGCGCGTCGTCGCAGGCGCATGCCGAAGTCCTTCGAAAACCTTTGGTGTCGGAAGGATTTCGCAAACGAGTTTCCCAAAAATTTACAAAAACATAGGGTTTTGCAACACTGATTTGCTAAAAAAAGCTTACGCGCGAGCTCTTGCGAAATCTTACGAAAATCATAGGTTTTTGTTCAAGCTGTCCACAACACGCTACCAAACGGGCTTCGCGCGCCCGCATGTCGAAATCTGTCGAACGCCCTTGCGCGTGTGCCGTCGCGAGAATCCCCTGCAAAAAATAGGGCGAAGTGCAGGCGCGCGTCGTCGCGCGCGTATCCCGAAATCCTTCAAAGCCCATCGGTTTCGGAAGGATTTCAAAACCGTGTGTCCAAAAAACACAAGGTTTCGCAACACGGATTTTCAACAAAAGCGTGCGCGCGCGCTCTTGCGTCGTCGTCGTCGTCGTCGTCGTCGTCGTCGCCGTCCTCCCTCCTCCCGCGTCATCGTCGTCGTCGTCGTCGCCTACGTCGTCTCGTCGTCGTCGTTCGTCGTCGTCGTGTCGTCGTCGTCGTCTTCCCTCCTCCCTCGTTGTTGCCGTCGTCGGCGTCCTTCCTCCTTCTTCGTCGTTCGCGTCGTCGCCGTCCTCCCTCCTCCCTCGTCGTTGTCGTCGTTGTCGTCGTCGTCGTCGTTGTCGCCGTCGTCGTCCTCCCTCCTCCCTCGTCGTCTTCGTCGGCGTGTCGTCGTCTTCGTCGTCGTCGACGTCGGCGTCGTCGTCGTCGCCGCCGCCGTCGTCGTCGTCGCCGTCGGCGTCGTTGACGTCGTCGTTGTCGTCGGTGTCGTCGTTGTCGTCGTCGTCGGCGTCGTCATCGTCGTCGTCGTTGTCATCGTCGTCGTCGTCGTCGGCGTCGGCGTCGGCGTCGCCGTCGTCGGTGTCGTCTTTGTCGTCGTCGTCGTCGTCTTTGTCGGCGTCGTCGAAGTCGTTGGAGACGTCGTCGGTGTCGTCGTAGTCGTTGTCGGCGGCGTCGTCGTCGTCGTCGTTGTCGCTGTCGTCGTCGGCGTCGCTGACCTTGCCAAGTGCCATTTGGTACCCACCGTCACGGTCTTAAGAGATTTTGCAAACCAAGTTGCGGGTGGGTGGGTGGGATGTTTGCGCGAGCAGTGGAGTGGACAACTCATT